AAACTCACCCTAGAGTCTAGACTTTTGATTATCAGGATCCTCTAAACCACGAGCTAAACTCCCCCTGAATCTATGCTTCAATCTTACACTTCTCGAAAGTACGTCAACAACTGCGTCAACACCTAACGCAGAGCATTAACACCAAAGGCTTGATCACACAAGCAACACCAAAATAATCTCTCGACTTTCTTCTTTTTAGCAGAGACACCTTTCTCCATGGAGGCACGTCCTCCTTGTATAGGTAACTAGAACTTTCTCCTCAAGTTCTTCCAAAAGCAAACTTAAGCAACTTTCTATTTTTCTCTTAAGGAATAACTCTCTTTTTGTTTCCTCTTCAAGTAATATCATTTACACTTAATGTAAATATTCCAATAAATATATAACCTCTTCTTCAAGCTTAACAAGCCCACGGACATCATAAAACACGAACTCCAACCCAGACCATCTTCATGACACACACATGTACTACCTCCTGTAGTAGTACTTCACGAACTGGTACAACATATACATCTTCATAACCTAGCCTCCCTTAATTGTTCATCGCCTATGTGTCTTGTTTTACTAGCGTCGCAAACTGCTTTTGTGATGTCAACTTGTAAGATTAACACCTCTGGTATAGCTTGGAACAACAAAGCAAACGCCATGTAGTTTTTCTCTTCCGTTTTAGTTCCAGACTTAGTGGCTTCCCACGCCTTGTTCATCATGCACTCAACAATCTTCATTCGCATGTCTAACACTGTGTAATTGGAGGAGTTTACCATCAGACACTTGTGAGAGGAGAATCCAAGTTCCTTGGATTTAGTCTCAAATCCTTCTTCCTTCTCGTCGTCATCCATGGTTGTTATTTTTTTTTTTCTTTTTGTTTCAAAACTTTAATGATATTTAAGCTTCCACTCACGATCTTACGAATATCAGTGATCTTTATGGCTCTGATACCAAACATAGAATCTCGATTTATATAAAAACTCAATAATAAGAATAACTCTCTTATTAATCTCTTGAGAAAATCACTCAAAACTCAAGAACTCAACTCACAAACTCTCTTAAGGAAAGCCCTCTCAAAAACCTTAAGCTCTCTCACAATCACAAAGACTCATCTCTCATCTCATAAGTTATGTAACATCATATACATCACCATATATATATATATATATATTTCCTAAACTCATTAGGAATCATAAATAGATATTTTCATATTCTATAACTCAATAGAATTATCGTTAATTTATTTTTCTAGTTTCCTTTTTCTTCAAGCTTAATCCAACAGAAATATGCATCACATCATTGTGATCTTGGCATGTAACACAGGCTCGTACCTGTGTAAGTATTCCTGATCATACAAAAAATATCATTCAAACGAATCATATAATTTTTTGATCAAGATAGTGTAGATAAATCTTGAAAAGTCACATATGCTACATTTAGGCAATATATATGTGTATATCACATGAGTTCATGTGGTTGTGTGTAAAGATGTTCAAGTGGAAATTCTATAAAGATATTTGCCTGTGACAATTGTTGAAACATTGCTGGATCGAGATTTCTGATTGTGAATTAAGAAAATAAAATCGTTTTGTGAAATAAGAAAAAAAAAATCGTTTTTTACCAACCAAAAAAATCGTTTTCCATATATTAACAAAATAAATAAACAGCAATAAATAGTAGTGAGGTCAACTCCAATGGGACACCAAAACACTAAATTTGGTGTGATTTTATCTCAATGGGATACCAAAAATTACACCATCATATTTATATCAGTTCATTCGATTTGAGGTAAATGATGGTCAAACAGCATTTTTCTGGTTTGATGACTGGCTGGAAAGGGGGAGGCTTATAGACATTACGGGGGATACTGGGCCATACTACTTTGGAGTTGCTCGTAATGCAAAGGTTAGTGATGCAGTTGTGCAAATGAATTGGAACATTAGGGGTCATAGGCGAAGGCAGTTTCATGCTCTCTCGGATTGTATCCATGCTGAACAGGTTCCTCACTCAGCTCATGGTAAGGATACGGTGGTATCGAAGCACGCTGAGGACACATATAAAAATGAATTCTTGTCAGCTAGTACTTGGGATCAAATCCGAAAGAGGAGGGAGGTTGTGTTCTGGAGTAAAAGTGTTTGGTTTGCCCAAGCGGTGCCTAGATTCTCATTTATAGTCTGGCTAGCAGTGAAGAATAGACTATCAACAGGGGACAGAATGAGAGATTGGGGAGTGCACCAAGGCTGCTGTTTTTGTGGTGAAAGAGACGAGACTCGGGATCACATTTTTTCGCGTGTCCATATTCTTTCACAGTATGGGATAGGCTTGCAAATCGGTTAACTGCAGGTAGCACGGATCCTGATTGGCTAGCAACTTTGCATTGTGTTAGTGGCAATTCGTTTCACTTGACAGATAAGGTACTACTCAAAATGGCTTTCCAGAGTTGCATCTATCATATATGGAGGGAGAGGAATGGTAGGAGGCATCATAACAGTTATCAGACAGCGGATCGCTTGGTTAGAGTCATTGATAAAGTAGTACATAACAGGATCACGTCCCTTCGATACAAGCCGGATCACAAACTTGCTGGACTGATGCGGCGATGGTTCGAAGTGCTGGCATAATTTTTTCGAAGTTTTGCTCTCACCATTCTTTATAGCTTTGTATAGTTTACTTATAGAATCAAGAAACAATAAAGCCTCTGTAAATGCCTAGTTCTATTTTGATCAATAAATTTCACATTTCATCAAAAAAAAAAATTACACCATCCCACCAAATTTGGTGTAGAGTGAATAGTGTTACACCAAATTTGGTATAACACTATTCATCACACCAAATATTTAATATACATATTTTATTATGTTTCATTCAATAATATAGTTTAATTATTATTATTAATAAGTTCAAATTTGTAGCTATATTTAAATATACTATATTATTTGTATTCTTAATTATTTTTACATAATTATAAATTTTTATTTTATTTTAAAGTAAAAATTACTATCTGATTGTTATCATATTGTAATATATTTTTATTTTAAAGTATCAATTATAATCTTTATTTAAGTTATACTTAGTCAGTAATTAATAAGTTATAATATTACATTGTAAATTTATATTTAATAGTAAATAATTAAACTTAATGTAGTACTATCAAATTAATTAAACACTAAAATAATTTTTTTAGTGTTTATTTTATAAGATAAATAAAAAATTATTAAATAAATAGATTATTTTGTTATGTGCTTTTCATAATTAATAGTTTGTAGTTTTCATATAATATTATATAGCAAATATAAATGTATAAATTTATTAACTTAAATTTGTAAAAAGTTAATAATTATAATATATTATACTAATATCAAAGTGTTACAAAACAATTATTTATCAATTACAAATAAAATTATAAATAGTTATTAAAATTATATATAATATAAATAATAATAGATAATATTATTTTTGGTGTAATATTTAGTGTCATGGTTCGAGATGAATAAAAAATTTTATACCAAAATATTAAATTTGGTGTAATTTCAACATCAAATTTGGTGTTATGATTGAAAATGTCCTGAGTAGCGATTAGTGGGTCGATGTATATTTGTTAGCATATGAAAGTTTCTCGGAAACTGCACAAAAGGATACTTTAATTCGATCGTTGTCTTTACAGATGCTGAACAATAAACATCAATGCACTATTCAGTCAATATCAACGAAACTACCAAAATAACAAGTAGGGTCCAAAGAAGATTTCATTTATCTAATAATACGCCGAAAGCAAAAACAAAGTTTTGTAAACTCTAACGAAGAATCTTTTAACCATAAGCGATTGATGATTTTTATTTTTGCATTTTCTATGATTGATGATTTTTATTTTATATCTTCTTAACGTGATTGATGATTATTCAGAAGGAAATAACCACATGCAGATTTATCCAATGACATTAATCGGAAAATATTTTAAACTCCGATTAGACGATGTAGAATCAGTTCACTCCGTGCTAAATGCGTTTCTCCCAAATTTAATTGGACCAGCCAATAGAGTATATCAAAAAGAAAAAACAAACACATGCAAGAAACCCTTTCTTATTAAAAATGAACCACATGCATAATAAGATTCATTTTCTCGATTAGTGGTATATTGTGTTTTTATTTATTTATAATTTCTATGTTTTCACCGATTTATAGCTTTTGTGTATTTTATTTTATCGAGTTAAAATGTGTGTGTTTAAGTATACTTTGACGATATTAGTAGTTTATCAATTTTAAAAATATAAAGCTGTTTTGGAAGAAAAATAAGTTAATATTGATGCAAACAATCAAGTTATGTTAGTAAATGAACTTCAGCTGAAGTTTCCATCCTAGGTTTGGATAGCAATGGCCATTTATGGACATTTTAAATAGTAAAAAAATTCAAATTTATATGGATCTTGTGAAAATAGTCTTTGGATCTAAATTTTTTTTTAGAATTGTCACAGTTATAAGAAAAAATATTGATGCAAACAAAAAATTTTTAAAATGAAAAATTGTGCAGGAACGTAAGAAAAAACTCCCTTTCTTAATTAATGATAAATATGGTTTTATCTATTTATAACTTTTATTTGTTTTTATAGAGCTAACATGTGTGCTTCATGTATATTATAAAGTTTTTAGTAATTTTTCGAATTGTTTTTCAAGTTTAAAGTTATGTGGGAAGAAAAATGAATAATTTTTGGTGCAAAGAACATTTGAAAATTGCAAAACCGTGCAGAAACTTGAGAAGTTTTGCATTTGATGGATAATTCCATTTGTTTTACGCTGATATCACAATATCAATCAGTTAACAAATGTACTGTAGTAAATATTTTCTATAAATGTACTGCAATGTGTTTTTAAGTACAACCATATCAGTCTTGGAACTAAAACTCATTTCATTGGTTACAAAACAGTTGAAAAAATCATATCCATTATCACACCTTTGTGCTCTATGTACTGTTTAAAATACTATTAGAACAGTTCTGTGACTCACAGTTATAACAACTTCATTGGCAAATCCATTCTTTTACAGTCTTTCCCTTAGCAATAAAACTACCAACGTTCTTCCTGTCAATTCTCATAGGGCTTCCGGTACGAACCATTATCTTTTTAACCAATGCTTTGACCGGTGACTCTCCTCTTACGCTACTGTGCTTTCCAGAGCCCGAAACAACTACAATCTCTGCAGGAACCACACACTTCTCTTCACTAAACCTAACTTTGATCTCATCCATCCACTGCATCATTATCAAATACGACGAGCTCAAGTGCATACCATGTAAATCCAGCTTGCCTTCTAAAGAACTCCATTCCATGGCTTCATCTAAAACCGATGACTGAGTCAATGCACGTACCAGAACCAACTCGTCTTCATTCAGAAAAGTAAGCAGTTCGGAAACAGAAAGCGGGCAGCTATTCAAGTCTTTTAACAGTGATGTGAACGTAGGAGAAGAATTCAAGACCGTATTATACGTCCTTAAGGACAAAGGAACGTTGAAGTCCTTAAGTTTCTGTAGCCAAGAACCCATTTGGGGAAGAGCATCATGAGCTCCGTAAGAAGACAGAACCATGTTTGAACAAACCGTGTCAATTTTGTGACCTTCTGTCTCCATCCTATGCACTATTCTGTTCATGTCATCAAACAATCCTAATCTTCCATAACAGTATAAAACAGACTTATATTCAAACACCCCGGGCTTGAGTTTTTCGATTCTCATCTCTTCAATAACACTTTCTGCATCATGAGGTTGGTCCATGTTGCACAGTCCAGAAACCATAGACTTGTAAGCTTGGGTTTTGACATAAACTGAAGAAGATCCTTGGGTTATCTCTCTCAGACGAAGGCAGGCTTTGTTGAACCCTTGTACTGACCCTTGTTTAGAGTTTGATTCAGCCAAATTGCAGAGGAAGAGAGCAAGGTCTCGTTCGTTTGCCTTGAGATTTAAAGCTGCAGTAGAGAGTAGAGTTTCTGATTCGTTGAATCTTTCTTGTTTATTGAGCAGAGCAACAAGATCAGCAATGAGCTTGGGATTCCAATCAAACCACGAAGCTTGAGTAATTTCTGAATACAACTAAAGATATGAAAAGAAATCAAAATCCAATTTGAAATAATTGATTGAGAGAAAGAGGAAAAAGAAGCAAAGACTCACAGAGAGAGCAAAGAAGGAGAGATGGGGATGTGAAGAATGAGGTGAGAGGAGATGAGAGAGGACATTGAGAGACACTGATTTGGGAGAAGCAGCTACAAACTTCTTAATGTGGCGGTTTGTAGCTGAGGGATCTCCAGCAAAGGCAGGGGAAGAAAGGGACGAGAGAAACTTGTGGCTTTGCTTCATCAGAGGCACTGTTCCGGCTTTGCACCGAACTTGCATTGATGTTCTTAGCTCTTCACCCCAGTAACAGATATCTTTGCTTGTCAGCTGCTGAGGAGGCGGAGTGAAAAGGAACCGTTGCAAGCCGATGCCATTGCTACCGCAGCTTATCATCATCATCTGGTTATGGACTTTTGTGTGTGGACAGCAATGGTAGAGGATAAACAAGAGTCGGGGTTCTGGTTATAACAATCACACCTGCATAGATTAATACTCCGTGTGAGTAGTAACCCAAGTAGAGAATTGCAAATTCAATTGCAAACAATTATGGATTCTAAACCTCGATTTATCAGAATCAAAACCCAGATGGATTACAGCAATTCAAGATTCTCTAGTCTGCGTAGTAACACTACCCAACTAGTAGTCAGAAAAAGCGAAGAACTTTTTAAACCCTAATACCAAAATCCAAAGAATCCAGTGATGCGGATTGATATGCTTTTTAGGGGATGAAGATGAATTCGGGTTACGCCGGTTTGTAGTTTCAAAACCGACATTCTTTTTGACCGGACAGAGTTCAACTGGTTTTTAACAGCGACTATCTTTCTTCTTCTTTTTTTCTCTTCTTTTTTTTAATATTTCTTTATTGAATGATTCCCCAAAAGAGGATCTGAGTACATCGAGAACGAAGAAAATTCCGGTGAATCGTAATAACGACGGTTCTAGGTTACGAGAAATCAACAACGACACCAGCAACAAATAATCTAAACAGAGATATTGAAGGAGGGAAAGAAGACTCAGAAACAATCAAGTTCCAACTTTAAATGAACACCGGGGATCTAATTTTCAGATGGGTCGCGACTTCTAAGCTACCGGAGTGTCCAAATCCAGAGCTCAGTTTTCAGCAGTTCACCGTTCAATGATAGACCACCTTCATATTGATTCCTTTTAGGTTCAAATGAGTTCGAGCCTAAAAATTTTAAACTTTCCTAGTAGAGAATTCTAAAATAATATAAGAAAACTTCTAGTTTTGTCAGTATTTTGGTTGGATTCTTGGATATCTGATCCGTCCTCAGGTTCAAGTCGAATTCAAATTGGGTCTATTCGGATACGGATCTTTTGGGTATAGAAGTTTTGGACCCATACGAATATTTATAGAGTTTTTGATCGGTTTCAGATTCGAGTATTTTGCATCAGTTCCAGTTTTGGTATCCGGGTCTGTGCTATAGGGAATGATGATAATGTGGATGAGGAGTCGAATATTGTTAATAACACGTGTCTGTCATCTAAATGGAGTTATTGAGAAGGAAGTTAGAGTCGTTGAGAAAGAAGTTGGAGGTTGTTACAGAAGAAAAGGAGATATAAAGAGGAGATGCAGAGCTTGTGGGGAATTCATTCGAGAAGTTAGAAGTCTTTTTCCTTTCTTAATCTTTCTGAGTGTGATTTGTGAGTTTCTCTTCAAAGCTCTAGAGTTGTTTCTACCAAGTATACTCTTGGCTTGTTGAGTACGATACTTTGTTGTAAAAACATTAGATCGGTGATTACCATTTCATATTGAGATATTGTTTTACTGTATCAGTCTGGGACTTTTGCCCCGGCCTATATTAAAACATCACCAACCAATTGAGTTCTAGAATTATTAAAATCCATGTGTTACTGACTTTTCACATTAAAAAACCTTACATTGGTTGGTTCTCTATGATGTTATATTGGTTATTACAGCTAAGAGGTGTTGTCCACAAATATTTTGGAGAAAACAAGAGTTTGGTTCTCCAACGAATATCCATAATCTTTAAAGATTACAAAGAAAGATTCTATATGTAGTATGTACATATGCAAAGTTACTGAAACATGGAAAGGGTCGTTTACTCGTAAACCAACAAAACATAAACATGGGTTTTCTTCCTCTCACAAATATCAAAGAAATTATTACTCTTCGTATTTGTTGAAAACTCCAAGGTCGTATAAACTCCCAAATTACACAACAGCATTTCTCAAGATTGGGATGATGTTTCTTCCGGATGATTCTCAGCACTCTGAGACGGTAAACGTTTCATACATATATTAACAATGAACAAGCACCATTTAGTGAGACTAACGCGAAATGAAAGCATAATGGCTGTAAGATCAAAGATGATGGAAAAGCAACCTAACGTATGTTAAGAGACTACTAATCCAAAAAGGACGGATTTAAAGGACAATGCCACAGGGTTTCTATAGCTACAAGATTCAAAAAGGTAAGAGTAGTGTATACACAACTAACTAACTATACGCAAACGATCCTACACAAACAGTATTTAATGTGTTCCACTGACCTCAAGAAAAGTAATCCAAGGAGGTGGAGGCCAGAAAAGCTTGGCATATTCAGGGAGTTTATGCACCAGCTCTATTTTCCCACTCCTGAAATCAAACACTCCCAAATCTCGATCCTGCATTGCGTCCACGTTATCCTCGTTGAACACATTACCATTGAAGAACACAGAACTCCCACCACATGAAGGTAACAAATCCGAAGCCAACGCAGTAAAGTTACAGTCATCCCCAAGGAACAACATCTTACCACCAAGATCCTTAACCTCAACCCAACTCTTCTCTCTTTCCACAAACTTAAAAACCTTAAACTTCACCGTCCTCTCATTCATGAAAACCGCATGATGCTCAAAGACCTCCTCGCCAAAGCCAGGATCCCCATCAACCTCCTCCATACTCAAATACATATCAACCATCAACATGTCACCACAAGATTCAACCAAGAACTTCTTGTCACCACCATACACGGGACTCGCAACCAATTCAACCTTCAAATCCAGAAAATCCACAACCACAGTCCTCCCATTGTTGTCAACACCAAAGAAGCGTCCTTTGAAAACAATCACATCATCGTAAGGAGAAGGCATGTCATTGATCACAGTCCAAGCTCGATCCCAGGAGGTAAACACAGCTAACTTGCCAGAAACATGAATGGTAAGCAACACAAACTTGCAACTATCTAAGTACCTAACAACAGCCTTCTCCAAGTACAAACTGTTTACAATATCACCAACCGTGTTGAAATAATGAAGCTTGAACTCACGACCTAACTCTCGAACCTTGAACTTGGACATATCGAGAGATCGAGGGAAATGATCAGGAAGAGAGTGTCTGGTCTCACTCATCGGATCGAGAAGCGTCACCTTACGAGGAGCGTTAAGGTCTCCTTCCTCGATCTTGACGAGCCATCCGAACAGATCGGACTGGCTGATGGGCGGTTTGTGAGGTTCGATGAGGAGGATGCTACGCTGAGAGAGGCGGAAACCTACTGCGGAGTCTGGGAAGAGGCTTGTGCCGTTATCGGGGAGGATCGGGAGGTGGTGAGTCGGGAGAGGAGGTTTCGGGTCGGCGGAGGAGCGCCATGAAGTACAGACGGAGCGGAATTGGAGGAGATCGAAGGAGGATTCGAGAGATTTGGAGATTAGGTTTAGGAGATCCTTCGGGAGTGATGCCCAATCGACCATTGATGATGATGAATTCAGGAAAGCTTTACACCTTACAAATCACCCACCACTGCAAGGATAATATCTCAGAGATTAATTCTGACCCGACTGGTTACGAATTTGTAACGGGTCGACTCAGACCTCGCTTATAAATTAATTAGACCTACATTATTCTACTAATTTACTTGTATAATAATTAAAATAATTTACAACAAATTAGAGTCTCTTGACTTTTGGTGGGAGCATTTTCCTCTTAAACTTCTAACTCTTTCCTTATTGTTTCATACTTTAATTAGTTTTATGCCAAGAAACTCTCCTAAAAAGTGCAGTTGCTGGGGTTAAAAGTGAAACATCCATATGTATTTCAAAACTTAAAAGTAATTGATTTGGTTTATCAAAGTATTATCTCTCTTACACATTTATTTAGAATTCCATGGTTTAGTTTGTTTAAGTAGAAGGATGAATAAGATATCTAACAATAATAAAAGTTGGATATCCTCAAAGGAGAGACTATCCACGTAGGATTAATAATTCGACCAATCAAAATATAATTAAATGGCACGTCATCTTAATAAAGCAACGAGGCTTTCCGATTTACTCAGAAGTCAAACCTATAGTATCATCTTTTCATCTCCCCCAGCCTGTAACCCTTCTTAAGTTTTTTTTTTACTTTTTCCTGATCAATCGAAACAAAAAAGGTGAATTCAATCGATTGTATCGGCGGTTTCGAGCACCCACCAATCATAAAACTCCTAAACTCACTTATTATTCGACCTTCTTCTGCTCAAACATTTGCTATATGGAATCTGAACAGCCTATCATATTAAGAGTTCCCCTCAGTGTCGTATTTCTATCTTCTTCTGATCCGAAGAGAACCAGATTAGGTCAGTAAGAGTTTCAATATAATTTTGTTCCAGAAAAACTCAATTTTTTTATATGATTTTTTAGTAATTTTTTTTTTTTTTGCAAGATCCACCAATAATCCAAAATCACTCGAAGATCAGGTATTTGTCCTCATTTTCATACTTGACTGTTTCCTTCTGTATTATTTTGGTCATCTAAAATTTAATTTATTCATATACAATAAAATTTGTGTATGTAGGCTCTATAAGAATAAACTCACCAAGACAAAGAAGTATAAGAAAACGGTTTCTGAAATTTCTGTGTTATTCATCGTCTACTACTCAAAGTCTTATATAGACTTGAGACACGTACAACAAACTCCCAAAACAAACTCAGACACTTCAGCAAGTAGTTTCCTACAAACCAGGACAACTACAACTCTAATCCCTAAGACTTAGGAACAATCTTAGACTTAATTCAAACTAGAATCTAACACTAACTTCAACAACAAGAAACAAACCAACTTAACTAATTTTATTCTTCATATCCTCCCCTAAACTGGAATGCGTCCTTTCCAGTTTACTCTTCTCTTGTGCATACTCCCAACTTCCTCCTCAGCTTCTCGAAGACATCAAGTTTTACAGCTTTTGTCATAATGTCTACAAACTGGTCTGATGTAGGACAGAACTCGAGCTTAATAACTCCTTCATTCACCAGATCACGTAAGAAGTGGAACCTCACGTGAATGTGCTTACTGCGACCGTGTAGGACAGGATTCTTGGAGAGCTTGATCGTGGAGCTATTGTCACAGTAGACCACCGTTCCTTCTCTTTGAGCCAGCCCTATTTCTTCAAGTATGTTTCTCTGCCACATTGCTTGACACGCTCCATAAGATGCAGCAACAAACTCAGCTTCTGTTGTTGATAATGTCACTATTGGTTGTTTCTTAGCGTCCCATGACACAGCTCCTCCTCCTAGCATAAAAACATACCCAGATGTACTCTTCCTATCATCAAGATCCCCAGCATAGTCACTGTCAACATACCCAACAAGCGCATGTTCTTCTCCTCGCCTGTATCTGATTCCAAAAGCACATGTTCCTTGTACATACCTCAAGATCCTCTTGGCTGCTAGCAGGTGTTCCTCGTTGGGTTCTTCCATGTAGCGACTAACCATATTCACTGAAAACATCAAGTCAGGTCTCGTTGCAGTAAGATACCTGAGACTCCCAACGAGTTGCTTGAACCATGTAGGATCAACAGCCGAACCAGCTCCTTTTTTCTTCAGTTTCTGTCCAGGAATCATGGGATTCTTGACAGAGTTACACTCGCTCATCTCGAACTTCATTAAAACATCTTCTGCATACTTCTTCTGAGTGATAAAGATCCCTTGCTCATCTTGCACAACTTCAACTCCAAGAAAGAACTTCATTTTTCCCAAATCAGTCATTGCAAACTCTTTCTTCATGGATTCTCTGAACTCATTCAGCAACTCATATGAGTTTCCTGTGTAAATTAGATCATCAACATAGAGACTTACAATCAAAGTGCTTCCTTCCTTAACCTTTACGAAGAGTGTGTGCTCACAGTAGCACTTTTTAAACCCTTCCTTCATGAAGTATCCTTCTATCCGGCTATACCATGCCCTAGGAGCTTGCCTTAAGCCATATAGTGCCTTCCTCAGCTTGTAGACCTTGTTTGGAGCATATCTTATCTCGAAACCCAGTGGCTGCTCCACAAACACTTCTTCATTTAGTTCACCGTGCAAAAAAGCACTCTTCACGTCAAGTTGAAAGACCTCCCAACCTCTTTGTGCTGCAAACGCAAGTAGTGTCCTTATGGTGTCCCATCTTGCAACTGGGGCGGATACTTCATGGAAATCAACACCTTGGGTCTGGTGGTATCCCTTAGCAACAAGTCTCGCTTTAAACTTCTCTATCTCTCCTTTCTCATTGAACTTGGTCTTGAATACCCACTTAACCCCAATAACTTTGGCATCATCCGGCAGCTCTACAAGTTCCCAGGTGTTGTTCTCCTCAATAGACCTGATCTCTGCTTCCATCGCCTTTCTCCATATCTCATGTTGTGCTGCATCTTCATATTTTTCAGGATCTTCTGCTGCAAGAAACAGAGCCATAACCTCTTCCCCCTCTTCTTGTATAACTAGTTTCACTCCATCAGTTACATAGTCCTTCATCCAGACAGGGGTTTGTCTATTCCTTGCTCCTCTTTCACGAGTCTGTCCGTTGTTGTTCTCTTCAGTATGCACTTCTGCATCTCCTCCTTGCTCCTCCATGTTATCTTCTTCGTCTCTCTCCACCTGGTTTTCATTGTGCATGACTTCTTCTTCTTCTTCTTCTTCTTCTTCTTCTTCTTCTTCTTCTTCTTCTTCTTCTTCTTCTTCTTCTTCTTCTTCTTCTTCTTCTTCTTCTTCTTCTACAGACTCGCTTCCCAGACCCACTGCCAATCCTTCATTCTCCTTGATCTCTTCCCAGTTCCAACTCTTCTCCTCATCGAATTTGACGTCTCGGCTTGTCACAATTCTTTTTGTCTCTGGATCATAAAGGCGATAAGCCTTTGATTCTTTGCTCATCCCAAACATCACACACTTCTTACTCTTTTCATCCAGCTTGATACGTCGTTCATACGGTACCAACGCATACGCAACACAACCAAAGACTTTAAGATGTTCCACTGATGGTCTTTGATTACTCCATTTCTCTCCTGGTGTGATATCTCCTAGGATTGCAGCCGGGCTTCTGTTCAGAATGTGTACTGCGTAGGAGGCAGCTTCTGGCCAGAATCTTCTTGGTACACTCATACCGATCAGCATGCATCTGGTCATGTTCATGATGGTTCTGTTCTTCCTCTCGGCTACTCCGTTCTGTTGCGGAGTATAAGCTGCAGTCAGTTGTCTCCTGATTCCATTCTCTCTGCAAAACTCTTGGAACACCATGGAATTGTACTCGCCGCCTCTGTCTGATCTCAAACACGCCAAAGATTCTCCAATCTCCTTCTCCACTGCTGTTTTCCAATCCTTAAATGTCGTGAAGGCTTCAGACTTCTCTGCCAAGGAGAAAGTCCAACACTTTCTGCTGTATTCATCTATGAAGTTGATCAAGTATCTCTTTCCACCTTCTGAAGTTGGCGTGATTGGACCACATATATCAGTATGGACCAGCTCGAGTCCTCTGCTTGCTCTCCAGGCACTCTTCTTTGGTATATTCTCACGGTTTTGTTTCCCCTTCATGCACACTTCACATACAGCTTCAATACTTCCTTCACCCACAGCTTTACTCAAACCTTCAACCATCCCTTTCTCGGCAAGCATTTGGATACCCTTGTAGCTTAAGTGACCAAATCTCTTGTGCCAAAGCTCACTTCTGTTCTCGGTTGTGACTTGCAGGCAGCTCGAATTCACATCTTCTCTCTTTCCTTTCATCGACGCAAGTATGATAAACATCATGTTATTTGACATACTTGAGTACATTATCAGCTTCTGTTGTTGCTTGTGCCATACCTCACATGTGTCGTCTTCAATGATGATCCTCAAACCTTTCTGCTGAAGCTGTCCCATGCTTAACAAGTTGCTTTTCAAACCAGGTACGAAGTACACTGAGGTGATAACTTGTGTCAACCCGTTAATCTTGAGTCGAAGATCTCCTTTTCCTTCTACCATCAATCTTCTATCATCTCCCAGCTTTACATTCTGTTTGTAGTTACAATCAAATTCAATGAACCACTCCTTGGAACCACACATGTGGTTACTGCAACCACTGTCCAAGAACCAGACTTGCTCATCCTTACCCTTAATCGACTCCACGTGAGCCATCAACACCATGTCTTCTTCTTCTTCTTCAGCGTAATTAACTCCTTTCTCCCATTCTGGACACTCATACTTGAAGTGTCCTAGTTTGTGACACTTGTAACACTCCATTGTATCCTTCTTGAAGCTAGTACTCCCACGACCTCTTCCTCTACCACCGCGTCCTTGATACCATCCTCTAGTAGAGAAGTTTCCTCTTCCTCTCCCTCCTTGATGCTCCACCTTTAACGCTTGTTCTTCTTTCACACCCTTGCTTAAGTTCTGCTCATGAACTTGTAAGGAGCTCTGTAACTCATCAACAGTGAGTTCTTTGATATTTTTTGATTCCTCAATTGCATAAACAACATAGTTAAACTTCTCCACCAACGTACGCAAGATCTTTTCCACTATTTTGGCGTCTGGCATGTCCTCTCCGAGATTTCTCATATCGTTGGCTATCACCATCACTCTGGAGAAATACTCTGTGATAGTATCTCCTTCTTTCATCTCCAGCAGTTCAAAGTTTCTTCTCAGCCTTTGAAGTTGAGCACTTTGCACCCTCTTGTTTCCTTGGAACTTCGTTCGCATTAAATCCCATATCTCCTTCGATGTATCCTTCTTAGCGATCGTCTTCAGAATTGTCTTGTCAATGGATGAGATAATTTTTCGCTTTCAGATCTTTGAGTTTTTGTTCTGCAGCCTCGGTCCGTTGAGCACCTGTCAGGATCTCGTTCATCTCTGGTTGAGTGATTCCGGTCTCGATCAGCTCCCACCATTCCTTGGATCTTAACAGGTTCTCCATGAGCATAGCCCAATGCTCGTAGTCTCCATCGAACTTTGGTATGTGCAGCGAAGTCTCCTTCTCATTCATCTTTACACCTCGTTAAGAAGGCTCTGATACCACTTATAAGAATAAACTCACCAAGACAAAGAAGTATAAGAAAACGGTTTCTGAAATTTCTATGTTATTCATCGTCTACTACTCAAAGTCTTATATAGACTTGAGACACGTACAACAAACTCCCAAAACAAACTCAGACACTTCAGCAAGTAGTTTCCTACAAACCAGGACAACTGCAACTCTAATCCTTAAGACTTAGGAACAATCTTAGACTTATTCAAACTAGAATCTAACACTAACTTCAACAACAAGAAACAAACCAACTTAACTAATTTTATTCTTCAGGCTCCTGGTAATCGAACGTGTTAATTAACAGTATCTTATTTATATATGGGATATAGTAAATACATTAGATATTCATGCCTCTCTGCTTTTTGGTCTACATGGCGGCCATTACGAGAGAATGATTCACTAAAGCTTTTGCAATGGTATGTTTAGAGACTGATTCTAAGCTAAAAATTCACAGAGTAATATGTATTGGTTTGCATCTTGATGTGGTTATGATTTCTGTACCTCAGTGCAAGTATTTTCTCTGTCATAAAAACTCTACATCCTAATTTTATTCTTTTTTCTTTGTTGTCTAATGTTGTGGATGCACAGGATTTACCGATCCAGAGAAAATTCAGCAGCTCGTGAAAAGAAATTCGCAGTTTGTTTTGATCTATATATACTCGTGGCAGGGAAAAGGATACGCAAAAGAGGTATTAACCTGATGACATATATCTGAACTTAAACAGGGCATAAATTCCCAAGTTCTCTGTTCGGAATCAAAAACAAAATGAGCTGGATGACAAACTGAGATATGATTTTCTTCTTTATCATGTTCTGAGAATTGTATTGAAAAGCACCAGAAAAATATCTTGATCCATGTCAGGGATAAGCTTGATGTGCAAGTATAGTTGGCTTGGAATAAACGCCTTTTTTATGTGTAACAGAGAGTAAAGAAGACCAAAAAGGTTGTTGAGAGATATCAGGAGTGAGAGCTTACTAATGAGACGCACCCAATTTGTTTAAGCACTGCTCGATGAATCTTACGTGCACCCATAATCAGAATCATGAAATCAACTAAAAAGTTTATTTCTATTTGTTTGCAGCTTTGGAACCTAAGGAGGTGACACAGAGGAGTACTGTGAGTTTTACAGGGCTTTTAACGAGTATCTGGACCCACTGGCATCAACCCACTTCACAATAGAGGTACGTTGGAGGGAAAACATCTCTTGGAATGTGCAGCAAGTCTCGAGTATATTGTATGTACTATGTCCAATGCTGATCATAAGATTGAATGTTAAATTCTTACAGTTTCTTTAACTGTGTAATTGACACTAGAGTGATTGGATATAAATGAAAAACTGATATTTTGTTGTGGAATGAAATGTATAAAACATTTGATTACATTGTGTGGACTCATTTGTTGGTCTCATATGTTTAGGCGGAAAATCGGACCTTAAGGAAACAATTTTTTGATAATAGTAGGTTTAGGCGTCCGTCTAATCAGTAGTCCTATATAAAACATCTACCTCCTAGTGATTTATTGAACACTGGTTGACGTATGTGTTGTACATTTGTAAATGTTTAGGTATAGGAACAATCGACATGTGAGTATGGGAGCTGAGAAGTGGCTAGACATTGAGCTATGGGAAACACCTAAGGAATGTTTCAAAGTCTTGAAGACTCGCGTTTACAGGATCGCCACAAACTCATTTGGGAATGGACACGGTACACTTTTATTTTTGTTTTGGTCTTTTTTTTTCTCTCTTCATGCTCATAGAGACATTTTTTTGTTTGTTAATATCTCTCATAGGTTTCAATTTACGATATGGACTGGTCACAACCAACAGCAATAGTTTTTGGAAACGAGGGGAGTGGAATAATTAAAGAAGCCCGCAACAGTCTTTCCCCCTTTTAATATGTTAGTTATATAATATGGTTGTTGTGGTATAATATAATCAAATGAAACGTGTGCAGGAACATCCAGAAGCTCGACCATATCGAGTCAATACCATTCCAATTTACCCAAATCTTTGCTTTATTTTTGGTAAAGAAACGTCTGATGGGAGATACTACACACGCTTGGCTCAAGCTTTTGATCCCAATCCTGCAGAAACTGTGCGCATAAACGGTAAAAGCTTCTATATATTTGCTAACTATCTACTTTTGATTACTGCTACTGAAGAAATGTTCCTTTGTGTTTTTATTTATATGAATCCATTGGCAGAAAGTGAAAGCAAAGATGGATTCAAAGATACTTTCCAGATGATGGAAAAAGATGATTACCTCTGTAGCAGTAGTGGTCCTCCTTCTGTAGAATGGAAACGTGTCATGGACCGATGTCTTATTGATCTAATGCTTGAGCAGGTCAACAGAGGAAACAAGGTTGGTGAGACATTCACAGAACAAGCTTGGGCGGAAATGTCAGAATCCTTCAATGCAATTGCGGGCTGACATGTTTACGCTGGAGAATAGTTACATATTGATGATGAGAGAGCGTGATGACATCAACAACATCCTTAATCTTGATGGATTTGTTTGGGATGGAGAGAAGCAAACCATAGTTGCAGAAGATGAACATTGGGAAGCTTATATTAAGGTAAGGAGGCTATCTAATGAACACTACAGTGATTTATTCTTAAAGGGAGAACCACCATAGTCGATTTATTATATACTAGGTGGACGGCCCGCACGCCTGTGCGGACATTAATATAATTTATACATTACATGAATAAAAAATAATATAAAGGTATAAATATATTGTAACTTTCTTTATCTTTTACATAAATACTCTGTTTTTAACATATTTTCCTATCCTACTCATTTCGTTTTTTCTTGTATTTTTTCACACATTCGTTTTGTTTCTTATGTATTTCTCTTTGAATTATTTTTGTATGTCTTTGTACACCTCTCTTGCTCTCTTTTTCTTTCTCTCTCTCCCTTAGTTGATCAAATAATATCAAAATCTCTCAAATTTATATTCACTCTCTCACAATCACATATATTCATTCTCTTACCATCGTCCTTAATATGATTCTTAATATTTCACTTTAAAACTCTTTCTATATCTCTTTGGTTGCAAAATTTTCACCAGATTTTGTTAAATCTTCTAAACACTTTCACATAGTATTAATAAATGATTTCAGAATCTATCTCACTTATATTCAGTCTCTCACTTATATTCACTTTCATCTTCATTATGATCATAACCGACTCTCTAATCCTTATCATCATCATATCTCCCTCTCTTTCTCCCTTTCTTACATATTTTTTTATTTAGAATTTAATATAAAATCACAATTGACTAACCAAATAAATCCATTATCAAATTTTCTCCAATCTTCACACTATCTTATCAAACATTGATTCCTTTGACCAAGATTTTCATTGAAAAAATAAATATCTTACTATTAATTTTGTTTTTTAATTACTTCATTACATACATATTTAAGTAAATCTAAATAACTGTATTTCAAAAAAGTAAATTTGATTAAATAATTATATAACATAAAATATCTTAATTCTTAAAAGATGTGATGTCATTATTTTAGACATAGATTAATATAAACATGAGATTCAACACTTTAATATATCAAAATAACATGTTTCTAGTTGTATAAATTTTGTTATAATTTTGTTATCATATATTTTAAAGGTTTATTACACCGCAAAAAAAAACTTATCATTATTTTAAAATAATTTATTTTAAATTTAATTTGTGTTATATTTTGAATCTTCAACATTAACAATTTTCTAACTTATCATTTATATTTATCTTCCTTTCTCAATTTTTATTTATGTTGTATAAACACCTAAAAATAATTAGTTACAATTATATTGATACGTAAAAAATATTTTGGTATACAAATAAAAAATTATGTATGTACAAATACAAAATAACGAAGAATACAACAAAAGGTTTTATTATTATTCACTCATGTTTTTATTTATGTCTCTTTTTTTTTCTTATTAAAAATAAACATGCCAATTTTATTATACTTAAAGCTATATGAATTATATGAATAGAATATTAACTCTGATCTTGTATTAATATAATGTTTTGATTTTTTGTAATTTTATATTATAATAAAAAATTTCATTTATTCATATTTTTTTTTAAAATGACATACCATATAATTTTCTGTTTTAAATATAAAAATACTTAAATAATTTTTGAAAGTAATATCTCAACTATACTATCGACATTTATCTCTGGAAAATGATAGATTTTTTATAAAATTTAAAATTTGACTGTTTTGCATTCATTGAACATATTTTAAGAATACATATATATAGTGAGTGAGTAAAAAAATATTATTAGTTTTCTGTAATGTATGATTTTTTATCCACTATTAATAGAAAAAAATTTAAAATCGCTTATATACTTATTTCTATAATATAATATAATATGTATTTATATGTATATTCTAAGTTTTTATAATGGAATATGTGATATTTAATTGTTTCTATAAACAAATTCTATTAATCCTATGTATTTAAGATGGTTAATTGTTTGTTTGGTAATATATATTAGATTAGGTAATTTTAGGATTAGTTTCCTTTTAAAAAACTTTATTTAAATAAATAAAAATTCAAATGCCAACAACCAATCAAATTAAAAAAATAATTCTACATTGCACCTATGAATGACACGTAAGCAAAATTCATTAAAGTGACTTTTCTTTTAATATATAGGGGATTTCAACTAAAATTTGCCTTTTTAATATTTTTGAGGGCCTAAGATTTTTTTTGAAAAGGTTTATGTCTATGAGTTTTCTTTAAAAATTTTGGGAGCTTAATACCAATATTTCATTCGGTTTAGCCTATGCTTAAAAAGTTGTTTTGATTTTAAGAGATTAGTGTCTGAATATTGGCAGGAACATCCAGATGCAACCATGTTTAAAGATAAAACCTTGGATGGTTATGGTGATTTGTGCAAGTTATATGAACATCTCTCACAAGAAGGCTTCAACTGTGAGAATCTCATGATCGAGTTGGATAACTATGGCCATGAGATTGATATAGTTGATGAGAACTTTAGTTCTTCTACCCACAAGCAGTATAGTAGTAATTGTGAACCAACCCAATTCCACATCTCGGGATAAATGCACGCAAGGCTCAGAAGACGGGAGTAGAAACGATAAGAAAATCTATTTGTTAGATAGAAGGTGATGGCGATTATTTCACAAGAATGCATAATGCCATTGATGCACTACAAGCTTTACCAGAGATGGATGACGAGCTTCTACTTGATGCTTGTGATATTTTAGAAGGTGAGAAGAAAGCAAAGACCTTTCTGGCTTTTTTATAAAGAATGTTAAAGTTATTCAAATAAAAAAAAAACGTTATGCTTATATGTGTAATCAATTTGTTGTACTTTTATTATTGAAGAATGTTTAACCTGATGATGAATAAACTGAATAAAAATAAATAAATCTTAGTTATCATCCAAATATATATGGTATCTTGCTTTATGTAAAACATATGTTAAATTTAGAACTAGACATCATTTTAGTTCAAAAATCGTTAAGTTCTCTTTTTATTGTTTTCCGTCTTCAAAACCAAATACAAAGAAACGTATAAACACATTTTTATTTGGTCTATTCAACCGATTGATTAGGTTCACGTCTCTCAAAATGTATGCTTAAGCAGTATTGGTTTGACATACACACTCAAAGCCATAATATTAATTTCAGAAAAAATAAATATTATACAAATAATCAGTTAAACTGGTAAAAATATAATTACTAAATATTTTTGAAAAATAAATACAAATAAAAAATGTCACATGTTAAAGCAGTCATGACCCTAGGTTTGTTGTAAGGTGATAAAGAAGACATTTATGCATAAAATATTAAATAAATCCCTAGAGAAGATAATCGAATTAATAATCATTGGTAACCAAATTAAATCACAGAAAATTTTCTTTTCATAAAATTTATTATTAATAGTTTTAAAATTTATAAACATTTCAAATTTAGAGTTAAAAAAAAAATTTGATGTAAACTTTTGAGGATTTTTGACGGTTTTTTGGATGATTATTCTACAAAGGATAGTAGTCATCAATAAATTATTTCAAGTGGGATCAACTCATATTGAATCTAAATATCATATACAATTTCTAATACCTTAATTTTAGAATTTTATTGTTAGTAAATAGTGCAAGACGACGAGTTTCAAATAAAAATATAAATCTTTGAATATCTATTATGTTAGAATAGTGATGTAGTATGTTTTCAGAGTTTACACGTGTAAATAGTTACATTTTCTGATCATATATAGTAAAAATGATAATTTGTCAGTTTTATTCATTTCTAATTCAATCTATGATTTATAGTTTATAATAATGGATGCAATATATGTACATTATTATGCTAAATATATTTATATTTGTCTAATCCCGGGCGTAGCCCGGACAAAATCTCTAGTTTATGGAAAAATAATTCACGATATCGTATGAGTGAGACCAAAACAAAAAAAGAAATTATATGTTGATTGCAAGTTTTGTAAACAAGAGTTTCAAGTCTTTGAAAAATTAACACAGTGTCCTTGCATGAAAGGGGATTCACGAGCCGAGAAAACGGGCATGGAAGACCAATTAGTTATAGACACGCAAAGTGTTACAAAAAAAATCATGTTTGGGATGGTATATGATTAACTAGATGTTTTCCATACTTATGCAAAAATATAAAATTTTTACAAAATCAAAATGTATATAATTGATTAATAATTTACTTTTATTTTTCTTAAAATCATATTATTATTTATAGGTATGAAAATTATAGACTAGTATAATTATTATTTTGCTATTAAAATATGAGAGTTTTCGAAAACCAACTAAAAATTTCAAGTCAAACCTAAAACCAACATTTTTTTTCATTACTATTCACCCATGAGTTTCCTATACCCTCTTTGTGTTTTTGAAATATTTACAAAATTACTATTATTATTTGATTTATTATTAATTTTGAAAGTATAAAAAAAAACAAATACATCTAAAACAAATCTACTTATTTACAACAATGTCATTATAATCAATTTTTCCAACCACCATAAACTACCATTTTTGAGCTACCATTTTTAAGCTCTTAAAACTCAAGAATGCAATTTCTGTCCACTTTTACCTAAACCTAAACAAACAAATCTTCATTTCCTCTCTATTTTCATCTAAAATTTGTTCAAAACTTTCATTTTAATAAGCACAAACTTCATATTTTGGAGTTTCTAGAGTAAAGAAATGTAAACAGAGCTTCTTTTTGCTCATATTTGGAGTTTAGACCATGGAAAACGTTGGAAACGAGTTTTACACCGGAAAAGTGAACTATTTACATAGTTTTCATCATTTTCAGATATCTGTCGCGATAGTAGACTGTTTTGTATATTTACGCATACGTGTAGACTGACGATGCGGTTTACTTGTCAAGGCACAAGTTAGTTTTGCAATTGACCAAACAATTTTTTTTTTGTAACATAGACTTCCTTAGAAGTCCACGTCTTTACCTTTGAAAACAGAAACACAAAAAATAGGTTGACTTACTAAGAAATCTACCTAAAAGAGGTTACTTTTGCATTTGATCAAACTTTCAAAATTTCACATTAGACTTCGTCAGAGGTCTACATTTTGTAGACTGCTCGGAAAGTCTACAAAAGGCTAGTCTTGCATTAGACCATAACTTTGACTTCGTTGAATAAGTGACTTTTGTGTTTGAATAAATTTAAAAACTAACCAAAAATTAATTAAAGTGTAGACTTTATATGCAATCTAATAATATTAAAAAAAAATGTAGCCTGCATATGAAGTTTATTATTTTATTTTGGTCAGCTCCACAACTAACCCATCAGATTTGAGAGTAGACTTCATTTGAAATTTACACAGTCGTAGATGTTCATTTCAATCTACTCACAGAAAGTCAAACTTGGTCAATCTACTCATGGGTGAATTTGGATCAATTGCAAAAGCTAAAGTTTTTAAATGGTAAACTGTAAAGAAAGTCTACACGTATAAAATCACAACTTTTTTTCAAATACAAAGAATAACCCGTGAATTTTGCAATCACAAAAACTAACCGAAAAGTAGACTTATATGACAGTCAACATACGTAAACTAAAATGCATGTCTACTATTTTTCAGATTAAATATGGAGTCTATGTAGAAACATATATTATAAGTGAATTTGTGTACTGCTCATTAAGTTTATTATTTGATAGTGTGTGTTAGTCAATCCTACTAGTCTCGAATGATTTGCCACAAGATAATATGTTATGATTATGTAGCTATCAAGTATTTGGTTTGACTATGTTGTTAGCTAATAAGTGTAGACGTCTTTGTAGGTCTACTTCTATAATTTTAAAAGAAGAGAGAATACTTGTTGTGGTTGAAGAATGTTAAGAAATCTGTGGAAGAGTGATGGGTAAGATCGCTTCCAAGTCACTTGAGAAACAAATGAGAAAAGTTTGAACTGGACTTATGTTGATTGTTAGCATTCATGTGGTTACTTATTTACTGCACATAATGTTACAATAGATGTCACGAGTGATAGATAAGTATGAAACTTATATTGAAGTTGTGGGTCTTGAGTCAGTGTTATGTGCTAAACATATGTGTTATTGCTTTGAAGTTGTGTTACGTAATGAACTTTTGTTGAACTGAGTCTTAACTGTTATGTATTCCTTTGGAGTTGGATTAAACAAATTGATATACTTTTGGTAGAGCAGACTTCAGTACAGAAGACTAATATCCAAGAAAATTGCACATTACAATATAGTCTAGTACAAAGGTATATAATACAAGCACCTATTACCAAAAACTTCATCATATCCTCCAATTCTAGCCAAAAAGTGGTCGCACAATCAAGGCAGCTGTAGCGGTTCCAAAGAGTGAATCAGTGATACTTGGAATACAGAAAAACCAGACCAAAGTATTTCTCATGCCGTTGGCTTGTCTGGAGGATCATACTGTATAATCCAATTCTACATATAAATAAGATTCAACACAATATGATTCCAGTAAAACTATTTGAGTGCATAAGGGCGTTAACCATCAATTCCAGAAGATACGTACACGAAGGGTATATCGAGACCACGGGCAGCAACATCAGTACATAAACATACCTTTATCTACTTTCATAAAGTCAAAAAAGGTTTTAGTTCTTCGGTTCTGATCAAGTCCTCCAGAATGTCAACAGTTTTGTATCCTAGCGAAAGAGAAAAAGGTTAGATGCAAACAAATATTCACATGCAAAAAGGTTTAAGAATAGTCCAATAAATATGATTAACCCTCAAAGCATTGAACAAGATATCATCAAATAACAGTAACTGAGCTATAAAATCTATGTCTATCAAGAAACATTAGTTCTGTAATCTAAAAATGATTTTGCTTTAATCAAAGACAACAATAAGAAACCTGCAGTGTTCGTAACAGTGTATTGTGATACAATATTGGCTAGGGATACAAAGCTTCCAACCGTATTAACTAATAACATGGATTACTCAAGATGGTCTTTGATCAGTGCATGATACATATCAAAAAAACCTTCTATAGTTTACAGAAATTTAGAAAATTTTGAAATCTAAACCAAGAAAACATAAGAAAGAACTCGACCCATTTAATGAAATCGAGTTTTTAGCCACTGTACAGATGCATACAAAAAAAATCAGTTTCATTTTGAGCAAAGCACGCAAGAGAAAGCAGAGAACTTTAAATATTATTACAGGAATATTACGCAGGAAATCAAATAAAATAGTTATATCAAACTTAAGACTGAATGTTCCAGTATGAAGAATGGGAGAGAGAGAGAGAGAGAGAGAGAGAGAGAGAGAGAGAGAGAGAGAGAGAGAGAGAGAGAGAGAGAGAGAGAGAGAGAGAG